GAGCCTTTCAACGACACGTACTTTCGGCCTTCGGGGGGTCTCAATTTTCCGGAAAGTGCATTAAGATAACACCCCGTCGGGGAAGAGGACTCGAGAAATTGGGTGAACGATGCAGGACGCTCGGGACCGTTAAGGAAGCACTCGGAAAACGTGGAATCCGGACGATTTTGACCACCACAAGGGGGGCTGGCTCCGCAATTTTACACTCGGTGTATCCCGGTTTACTCCCAGGAATGCACGCACGAGAAAATCTGGCAACCTCAACTTTCCCCGGTATTAATTTACAACGTATCAAATTTCTTCGCTCTTACCGGTGGAAAACCCCAGTGGTTTTCAAGCCACGAGGAAAAAAAAGGGCAGTTCATATTCCGCTTTCGAAACTCGCGTATTGTCAGAGAAAATTTAAATTTTTTCCCCCGGAGCGTAATATTATAATGTTACGAAATAAAGTTTCTTATCCGGAACCGTTCGAATTCGGTCGCATCGGTGCACGGACGACCGGACTTTTACGACTCGAGACGCAGGCTGGGACGAGGTCACCGGTAAAGCGGTCCCGCGAGCAACGAAATTTTATTCTCCGTTTCTCGAAACGCGATCCAAAAGATAATTTTACGGCCGACGGTTTACGGGCCAGCTTCTCGGTGGTCCGCGGCGAACGCTCGATAACAATTTTCATGATAGAAAGGAAATAGGATAATAAAGAGACTCGACGGTGAAACTGTCGGCGGACGGAACGTTATGTTTCGCAATTCCGTGGAATTGCTTGGAAAATTTTAACGGCGCCTCCGGGCATACCCTCGACGCCGCCCCTTTTTTGATTAGAGGCTCCCGTTGGCGAGCGAACCGCGAGCACGATATTGAAACGGTCAAAGCGACAGTCTGGAAAGAGGGAATTACCGTATTGCGTGCTCCTGGAAATAATTCCCGAAGAACCGGCGGCCTTTTCGTGCGAGCGGATCTCGTCTTTCGAAAGAATTTCCACCCAGAAAACCGAGGGCTTCGTTAATTCCTCCGCGAACAGTCGCTTCCGTCTCGGAAGGAAATTAATTCTCAACGTCGAGAGAAAATTTTCCGTCGAAAAATATTCAAAGTTCCGATCTAAATAATTTGTTTTCGCTTGCCTTCGTTATACATTCAAAATGGCGTTGAAACGAATGAAAAAATGACCTCGAAGGTCGATGGAAGTTGGGAACAACCCGGCGTATAACAACGTGGCGCACACGTGTCGCGGTGCATGGGGGGGAGAAAAGAGGGAACAACAGGCGGCTGGGCGAGAGAAATTGCGCACCACGGGGGCCGGGCGTCTGGTCGTCGAATGCGGATCTGCAACGAAACGGTCGAAGAAACGGGAAGGGAGAGAACGCGGGCGAGATGAATTACGAGCACAATGGACGGAGGCGGCGTGGCGTACGAGCGAGGTCGAACGAGAAAAACCGGGTCAGAGGGGGCGAGCACGGAAGAATGAGTGATTCGCGATCAGGCGAATCCCTTGTGTCGATTTTTCTCCGACGTTCTCGCGGGGGTTTCCGCGAAGAAAAGAACCGTAGTCGTTTTAACTTCCGTCGCGGGGGGGGGAGGGGGGCCTCTTGCTGCTTTTAACGATACACAGCCCGAGCCACTTGTGCGCTCGAGCGAGCGCAGTACTTTTCAAGGTGGAGAAAAATGTTCGAGCAATGCTCGTCGTAGCGTTTCGCGGTTTGGACGAAACGACGTCTGGTCGCCTCCGGTGGAAATACAACTAGAGGCAGTTGACCCAGAAGTCGATCGTTTAGGAGGGGATGATTAACGAAAAACTACCCTTGTATCGAAGATTGGAGAAACTTACGCGTTATTTGACTCTTTATGGGACGAATATTTTTCTCAAATATAGGGTTATCACACAAACTGTTTCTGATATTTCGGGTTTCTTTATAGGATCCAAAGTGAACGAAGACACAGGGTTTAATCGTCCGAGTCTCGAGCGTTTCATACGCGTCTTAGAGTTTCCTTCGGAGTGTTCCTCGAATCTTTCATCCAAGTTCCGGGCAAAGGAAAAGATCAGAGAAGGAGGAAGACGATTGTCGCGCGGAACGGGGAAACAGTAGTTGTACGTAACGGCGAACAACATTGGGAGATGAAGTTAAGAGGATCAACGGGAGGAAAGGGGACATCAATCCTCTCCAATAAAAGTTGCGTCGCCCGATCGACGGAAGGTAGATAATAACTGCGACGCCGTCCGTCGGAGGATAGCGCGAAAAGGTGGGGATGAAGGACAGAATCGAATCGATCCGTGTTATTGTGTTCTGGCGTGTATTGTGCACGGGAGAACAATCGCAGACACCGTGAAGACGACCGTGATAGAACTAATTGATGCGCGTAATTGAGGATTCGCGGTGGAAGGAAGGGTGTGTCGACCGGTCGTTATGGTTGTTGCAGACATTATAAGACGCCGTGTCTCGCTCGTCCAATTGCACCCTGTGCAACCATCCACTGTTTTCGTTTAATAATTTATTTATAATTGAACCTCGTGGAGTCCGAAATTCTCGTTCGAGCAGGTATTTATCCTTTCCTGCCTTGTTTCGTTTCCGCCTATTAAAAATTCCATTTTAAGCAGAAATGAAATTAAAAATAGAGGCAATGAATCACTTTGGGGTAGATTTTTTGCTCCTGGGGGGGGGGTCCACAACGGCCGACTTTTTGTAGATAGCCGCAGAAAATGATGCAGGGAGCCACATCTGGTCCGCGGGCCGCAGTTTCGCCCGTTCAACGTATGCTTGAATTACGTTTACTGTATTTCTCCGCTAATCCCAATATAGGTGATCGTTCGAGAGCAGATTTGATGTAAAAACCGCTAAAAAGCAAATATTCGGAAATGTAAAACTCTAGAGAGAATGCGTGTATCTATGTAAATATCGATGACTTTATTTTCGCGTAATTTACTCTTTATCGTTTTCTAGAATATCGCGGAAATACTCGAGCCGTTCAGCAAGCCTCGCGTAAGCGAATTACACGCGAATAAAGTCATTGACATTTGCATACAATGTGCTTGCACATGTTCCGACGCAGACTACTATGAAAATTAGCCGACGACAGGTGTTAGTCTCTGCATAAACAGCCACCGAACGGATGCGTTGAGATGCAAATGAACGTAATTTTCCGAAGAGGCAGCGAAGTTCGAGACGTCGTGAAACGACGAAATTCGCGAGTTTCGTGCGAGAAATGCTAACAAATAATATAGTAACTCTAAATATTCGATCGAATCGATGGGTTCCATAAACCCGGCGTTAGATTCGCGAAAAGAATTTTTCCGACTTTGAATTTTCCCCGACAAAGAGACGCGGAGAATTTTCGCTAATAAGGTTCGACGGCGTCAGCGATTCCAGGTCGAAATTGCGCGCGATAAACGCGACTGCTGCGAAAAATGGGAATAGAGGGCCAAGCGACGGATTCTTTTGCGTTGCAAAAATGTTCCAAGTGAATGTATCGAAATTAGTAAAAATTCGAAATGTAATTCGAGGAACTTCGATTAATCTCAGCGTTGCTTCGAGACGCGTGAGCGTAAGAGGGTAAGAAGAGAGGAAAAGAACACGATTTCCCGAACGTTCTCGCGAACGGGCTTTCGCGCTAGGATGGGAAAAGTGCATTACTAAGGATCACCGAGGACAGATAAAAAGCAGAGGACGAACGTGTCCCGGGAGAAGCTGCGAAACGGAAGCAGAAGGTCGAGCAGAACGGGGGAAAAACGGAAGCGAAAGGTCGAGTGCCGCGTGGAAAAACTGCGACAGTGGACCGAGCCATCAAACGCTGACGCGGAAAAAGGCGAAACGGCCACCTGAAGCGGAGTGGGTGCTCGAAGAAAGCGAGAAGGAAAAAAATAAGGGTCAGGACGGAAGCAGTCGGAGACTAAAAGCCAGAAAAATGGAAAATGGAAACGTCGAAGAATATTTTTCTAGCATCGATCCAGGATCATTCGATACAGAATCGAGAGAGACCTTGGGCTGTCGTTTCCATCGATGTGTGGGTGCTTTGTTCGCTGTTTCTACTTGTTTCAAAGTCGATTTTCTCGAAAATAAGCGCTCCGGACTCGGGAAAAGATTCCACGGGGGAAAGAGGTGGATGAAAGACGAAGTTAGCGTCGCGTTAAAACATAGAAACGCGGCAGAAGGGAAGTCGGGGGGTCGCGTGTAAGCGTTCGAGGCCTCGCGTTTCTACCTGGCCGAGAGTTTAAGGCCGGTCCACACGAGCGGAATCGATCCTCGTGTCCCTTATTGGATGAGGCGAAACGAACCGGTGAACCGTGCGTCCGTCAACCGTGCGGCGCTCGTGCTCGTTCACGGATACGGGACGACGTGTTCGATACTGCTTTCCGCCTTCGTGCGACCGTTCATGTAAACGCACACTGAAGGTGACGAATCGCTCTTTCGCCGCGGCGCGCTATACGTGGAAACTGTGTCAAGAGCTTTCCTACATTTTTCGCTCTAATGTGTTCCGATGTAATGTGTCCACTCGAGCGGCCCGCGCGAGTTGCTTTTCAAAAATGAACGTTCTTCCGCCTCTCTCACGCGGAAAATTGATTCGACGACGTATCGAGCTCGCGACGAAACTCGATACAAGCATCTCTTCTTATTCTTTTGTTTTATCGTTGGCCACAAAAATTCACTTAAGGGTTAAATAATATTTCCGGAATGAAATTGAGTCGTAACTGATCGGTTACAACATTCTGAAATTCGATAAATATAGAAGTGACGCAAGTCCACGATCGACGAAAACATATTTTTCTTTGGGCAACGTCTTCGTTCTTTAAACACCTGATAAATTTGTTTATCGTTGACCACCGGGAGCAAACGACGGGCAAGTTGGCGCTTATCAATATTTCTCGGTCGATCGAAATGCAAAACACTTTCTATCTCGTGCGGGAAGATAAACGAACTTTCGCGGCGCTATCGCACCGAACGGTTCGAATAAAACTAGCTGTTTGCAACGTGTGTTTATTTACTGGGGAAGGGAAAGGGTTGACTCACCGGTGACTGGAGCTTCGATTTCGATCATAGTCTTCTCCGAGCGCAGCAGGGCGGCCCCATCGTTGACTATACGAAGGGCCGCCGCCTCGTCGATCCTACCTTCGAGGATAAAGTGTTGTTTGAGGACTTCCGGCCGCGGCCGATCCGTCCGCGCGTCGAACACCTCTGCCAATGTCAATTTGTGCGATGGCGGGAAGGGGACATCTGCAAAGAAAACAAACGCTCGTTAGCGACGGAAAGAACCTCTCCAATGGCTGAACCTCGCAACGTCTAAAACGATTGCTACGATTTAAAAACAGCATTCGTATGGACGGTATGGAACGAATAAACGAATCCATAAAGTCTCAACGCGAAACGATCTTCCTAGCATTGAAAAAGAAAATGACAGAGATCGAAAGACGATAGCCTGGATGGCCCCCTGAACGTTTGGAGAGGTTTTCGAGGCGGGCCCAAACCAAAGTCGGCGACGTAAAGTTTCCCCAACAATGATAAATTCATGGTATAGTTAGCCGCGATTCGTTTTCTATGATTTATCGTCTAGCCACGATAGAAAAGTGGGATTGCGCGCGGTGCTCCCGATCCAATGTTCTCCACAGTTTGTCTTTCTTCCCCGGCCCTCCAGGCGCATGCAAACAGCCATTTAGAATGGGCCGCGATAAAGCGGCCAGCTATAAATCATCCTCGAAGAAAGAGAATCCCGCGCGGCGAACTTTCACGGTGTTACGTTCGCAAATGTATGCGAAGCATTAATTGGAGAGATACGACGCGAACGAATCGCGATAACATTGTCGCTACGCGCGCCGGAAACCGCCAGATCAATATTTAACGGGCCCCGTTTTCAATTCCGACTGCAAGTCGAACCGAAACTAATCCGTGCAAACGTTTCGTCGGACGATCGCGACAGGTTATCAGAGTCCACGATCATTTCGATGCTTCCAAGATCTTTCTAGATCCCGCACAGTGCATCGAAGAGGGTCAAAAGTAAATAATGCAATTCATAGAGACACGTTGTTAAATAGTATTAGTATATAAAACGAACGAATATTATTTTATTATATTCAATGGATCATATTGTTCGAGATGAGTATTCTTTATTTCGAATTTTCTTGTCTAACTTTGATTAGACTTTTCTAAAATACTCCTCGATACTCCTGACCATGGAGTTCACTGAAAATTGAACATTTCTATCCCTCCCAATTTCAGGGACGTCTCTTAGAACCCAGTGAAACGTGAAACACTGTTGCTGTCGAATTTCATCTCCGTTGCGATGTTCATTTTACGAATCATTATCCAGAAGAGCCTCTCAGCGTCGATTTTAATTGAAACATCGGGGACATTTGGAACAGAATTGCCACGATATAATAGTAATATTTTACCAACGGCTCAGTAATATTCATATAATTTATCAATTCAAAGGAACAAGGTATTCTTCGTCGAATACATTTTCGCGTATAATTCCGGTACACACGGAACAAGTGTCTTTGATAAAACAACAATCCTGTCGACAGCTTCGCATTAAAGCTCACGGTAAATTGTCAATCCGATAAGTAATTAATTATTGTACGAGCACATGTAATCCTGCCCATTTTATTATGCGTATTCTGGTACATTAATTATGCGTAATATATTTGCTCGTCGTTCAAACGAAACGTGAAAATGATCGGTTTACGTGGATTAAAATTCGTTTTTAAAAAGCGATGATACATGTTTGATGAACAATACCTCGTCCGCCTGATAAATTATGCGAACCTCTAAACGGCGAGTACGAAACAAACGCAATAGAAATAAATCTAAGTAAATCTACGCATCGAATTAAGATTTAAATTAAATTTTTTCGACGTATCAGTGGTCTCTCGCTAATGTTCGCTACTTTTTCCATCGATAATTTGCATCGTGAAAGAACCCCCGAAATTTGTAATGCGACGTCGATTACCTGGTCTGGGTCTACCAGCAAAGGTCAACATTGGCTGCCTCCGGACCGTTCTGCGTGGTTTCTCCGCCGCAGGACTCTGCGTGCACTTCTTCTTGGAGGCTAATTTCTGCAAGAAGTCTCTGAAATTGCTGACCATCTTCTCCCTGCTGTTGTCGGGCTCGAAAACGTCGTCGTTCTCCTCTGTGTCGCAAAACGAATCATCGTCAACCTTCGACTCCGCCAGCGATTTGGACTCGGTTGACTCGTAGCTGGCCAAAGAAGACTGTTCGGGCACCACTTCCTCAGAAATCAAAGAGTCTTCGCAACTCTTGGTTTCGAAGGAGGATCCCAGGTCCATGGACAGGTCGAACATGTTGGCAACTGTCGAGCTGTTGACGGATCTTCTCGAATCGTTATCGGATTCGTCCTTCTCCGAGCTTTTGCAAAGTTCATCCTTGCTGTCCGAGTTCGTTGTCAAGATAACCGGCGACGACGTGCAGTCTTCTTCTTCGTAGGCCTGTTCCACGCGTGATTTGTGGATCAGTATAGCCGCGGATGATTTCGATCTCTCTACTTTGAAACGCTTGCAACTCGAGCAGATTTCATCGAGTATATCCGCAGTCTCCGATTCGGAACGACTCTTCTTCCTCACGGAACTTTTGCTGTTGTTGTCGCATTTTTCCCGCCATTTGTCGAGAAGGCTTGTAAACTTGAGGTCCAGTTCCCTGTGCGTCTCTGGATCGATCTCTTTCCCAGAGTTTAACATCTCCTCCACGTTGACAGAGTTCGTATCGGTTGAGCAGGACTGATTCACCGATTCCTCCGAAAGCTTCAAGTTCTCCATGGACTTGTCCGAGAAGCACGAGCTCTGCTGATCGCAGGACTCGTCCATTTTCGAGCCATCGTTAGAATTCGATTCGCTGCGATCCCCGACTCCGTTGGCTTCCGAGACTTTTATCTCTCGAGTACTTTTGGATCGTTCGTCCTGCTCGTCTGCCATTTTCTCGAAAATTCTGGGGACCAAGGCCGACAGAGACTTGGACCTGTCGAATCTGAAGCGCTCGGGCGGCGAAGGATCCTTGTCCTGGTCTTCGTTCATCGGGGAAGTTTGCTCGCCTGTTTCGCAGATCTTGTGCCACTTGCCCAAAAGGCGACGAAACTTGAGGTCGAAGGACGGTGAAATCCAAACATCCTTCTTCCTCTTATCCACGTTCTCTTCCGAACCTGCTGGCTTCTCCGACTCGAGCTTCGAACAGTCGTTCGTTTCTTTATCCACGTTGTTGTTTCGCTCGCGAAGATCGTCGACCTCGTTCAAAGCATCCTGATCGTCCTTCTTGGAGCCAGACGCACCGATCTTGGACGAATCGTCGATGAGGGTCTGCAGGTAGTTCTCCAAAATCAAATTCTTCTGTTCAGGGGTCAGTATATCGTTAAAACTGATGTTTATGGCCTCCTTGAAGATCTCCTCGCCCCGTACGTTCTGTCTCGTCAACGCTATCCGATGTTTCTCCGTTCGGTTCCTCGACATGTTCACCTTCTTCAGGACCACGTACACCTCCGATAACTCGTAAAAGCTGCGCTCCAGCTGGGAGACGTCGTCCTCGGGCAAAGGGTTGCACTCCATCGAGTTCTCCAGGTCTTGGTGAGAGTCTTCGGAGTCTTGTTTCGACGAATTGCTCAGCAGATGGCTGCGAATCCTGTTCAGCGACCGATCGAAGATCGGGCTGATCTTCTCGGGAGAGTTCTCCGTGTCCGAATCCGAGTTCAAGGCACGTCGACGTTGGCGTTCCTCGTCCAGCATGGTTATCAGCTTGTGATTGTCGATAAGGTGTTTCCTAGGCAGAGGACTGCTGTTTCTCCTCTTCGAGCTGGACAGACACGTGTTGAATCGCAACTCCAACGCGCGTTTCAAGTTACTCATCCCGCTGCTCAAGTCCTCCTTGTTGAGGCTCTGTACGGTCAGCGGGGATTGGCTGACTGGCGTGCAAACGGGCGCCCTGGAATGCTGTGGCGTCTCCAGGTTCAGATTGTTCAGCTTTTCTATCATCCTCTGTATGGCAGGGCTGACCTCTCTTCCCGTTTCGAACATACTCGATCGAATTGGCGTCGCGAAGCTCTCTGAGAGTCGCAGCTGACACGAGTCGGAAGAACTCGAAGAATTCGACCTGGACATCGTCGTCGTCGGGTCCCGATAATTCTCGGTTTCATCCATCGTAACTATCGCGACGGTGCTCTATCTAAACGCTTCCGAATAGGGGTACGGTTTCAACGATCGCACTGTTAAATAAATAAAAGCTTGTCTCTTGATTTGCAATATCCACTGGGGTGATTTATTTTCGAGGAAAGTAAATTAGTATTTATATGTTTATCTATAAGCACTGTTCTTTACTTCTGTGTTACAAAGATACTTTTTTAAGCGAAATTATATAGGTTTCTACTCTTGTAACCGATGTCGAGGTAAATTAAACCGTGTGCCAGCATATGACCTTGTCCTATCGCAATTATCGCGTCCAACTGCAATGGAATTATAATTGTAAATTTTTTAAATGTGAAAAAAAAACTATATAATTATCGTGTAATTACAGTGCGATTACGTGTAATTTTGATCGTGTCAAATGTAATCAGATTACAGCTCTGGTTCAAGGTCGTATCGCTGGAACGGTTCAACTTGCTCTAGTATCAGCTACGAGAGATAAGAAAAAGAATGATTCCATTTATAAAATAATCGATGATCCTAAAACCCTGCTAAAAAAATAACTTAAGAAAAAAAGAAACATTTTTACATTATAAATAAATTCTATATTGATTAGGAAAAGTTTACAAGTCACTGACGTAGTGTTTCTCGTCTTGAATGTAAACCAGAAAGTAGAATCTTTCTATCGCTTTCAGTTTTTGGAAAGCACGAGTTTTTGTAAAAATGTATGATTTTGAAATGTAATCTGATGTTTTTACCTATAAGTTTTCCACGATTCGGAGATTATTAGGACTAGAAATAAATTATTCAAATATTGAAAGTGAAGAGTTTGTGGCTCTTTCAGTGGACACAGGCATTAACAACCTGTGGTTGCACAAATATGGTCCAATTATCGGTTAGATGGGTTAGGTTACGTATATTTGTACGACCGTCAAATTGAGTACTAACTACTTGTGCAACAATTGAGAGAAAAAATATTTGAATACAGGCTGCTTTTTAACACATTCGCGACCTACGATTGTCGAGCTAAACGATTAACTGAACGCTGTACAATGAATTTACGGCAATAAATAAACTCTGCATTTGTACAGATTTATTTCACATAACAATTTCGTGTGGTATTCGTTAATAACTTGAAATATTTTACTAAATTAAAAAATACCTTGTGTGCGATACATAATCCTCGGTAGCGTAAATTTCAAAATGGTGCAGGGCTACGTGACCTGTCGCGAATGTGTTAATTGTATCGATCACGCTTAAAACTAAATCTATGTTATTCGAACGGTAGAATCGTCGCCATAAAAATTCACAACTGTCGGGTTGGGTCTGGGTCAACAGAATTAATTCCGACGATCGAGTGTTCCATTTCTGTGTATCGAAACGTATGTTAACAAAAACTAGGCCAACGTTTCTGGCCCCGAAAAACAAAGTTCAACCGAAATAATAGGGAGCTAAATATATGTTTATAAAAATGTTTCAGATTAGAAAGAGACCCCTCGAATTATCTCTAGGCCCGTCACTGTGCGCGACAGATCATGTATTTGCTCAATATCGTACGTTTTTGCAAGAACTCGATAACGTGTTTGGTGTGGAAGGCGAGAAACTTTACGAGACTCGGTGAATATTGCAGATTAAAATTCGCGTTGAACGGTGTTATAGGCGGCCTCGAGGTACACGTTACACTTGCGTCGTCGTTCGAACGAACCGTTTACGACCTTCACGCCTAAGACAACAACGTTCCTTTGTTTCTTTCGCAAACACGTGTCCAGCACCGTATTCGCTAATAAGAACGTTCACTGGCAATAACTGGCCGCTGACACAGCACGATGTACAAACCACGATCGAATAACCGATACGAGATAAGCAACGTTTAAATGTTTTACATACGCAACGATAAACACTGTAGACCAAGAACGAAACGAGCTGCGAGGCGATCAACAACTGCCGATTCGTATCGATCGTCGACCGGAACGCGTCGTTAACTTCACGCTGTACGAACGAAGGCTGACTCGCAAGGACGTTCCGTACTCGCTGTTGACTCGGCCAATCGCGGGTTCGATCTCGCGACTGTCCAATGGAAATTCGTTGTTTGCACGCGGGAGCTTTAATTCCTCTTTATTGGTTTTAACAAGTAATCTTACTCAGCGCCTAAATATGCGAGCCTCTCGAAACGATTTCGAGCGTCTTCGACGGTTCCTTTTCACGCTTCAATAACATCTGTATTGTAATATTGTCGATGTTATAATATATTAGGACGTGCAAGATCAAAGATACACTCTATTGGAGAATATCTGTATATCGTAATCGTATAAAATTCACAGTTTATTTATAGCAGAGTTTTAAGGAACACATGTAATTTTTCTCGAGTCATTTTTTAAACTGAATCTCAAGGTCAGCAATACTTTGAGAAATTTAATTACATATTCTTATCATCGTGGCGTGATAGTTGAGGTCAAGAGTAATTCAATGATCTATGATAACACGATGATCGAATACAGAATATCCAGGATATCCCATTTAACTTGATCCGAACTATTATTATCTCTGTAGCTTTTGATGATGCAAAGAAATGTCTGAGAATGACGTCTCCGTGTCATCATTAACACCACGACAATATGATCCTCAAACGACTTTGATTATTTTCAGTACTTGTAAAATCATTTCAAGACTATGATGTCGTGCTGAATATAATTTTGCATTTTCTATATCTTAAGAGGACTCCAGAAGGATTTGAAAAATTTGCAGTATCTCGAAGACTTTTATTTCCTATATTTATGAGTTAAACATTCAGAATGTATCACTATATTAAGCACACAGCGATTTTTGTATCCCTGATATTCATTTTCTAAAAATCTTGAGATTATCCAGCCAGGGGTTTTTCTCGTACAATAAATATAATAACACTTAACTAAACTATTTTTTAATTTACTCGAGTACAATTAGAACTAATGATCATTCTTGTTCCAATGACTTTCTCTCGAAGAATATTTTTACTAAACGAAAATAAAATTTTCTCAAGTAACGCGAACGAATTTTCAAAAGAAGTTCCTTTCCAATCTCGTACAATACGATCGATGGTTCTGTCCAGTAAGACACAGTTACGTCCATAAAACTGAGTATAAATCTTCGAAACAGAAATACAATACCGGCAATACGTTCTTCAGACTTTTCTTCTTCCTAAACTATGCTCAAAATCCGTCACTATAAAACTTCTCGCGAGAGTCGAATTTCTTTATCGAATCAACAGTTTCTATAAAGAGTTTCAAAGTAGCTCGACGCTCGGTGAACATTGTTTTGCCTTTTGTACGATACGACGATTCGTGCCAAAGAGTTCTGGGCTTTATTACTCCAACCGTTCCGTTATAAAAAGTGAGCCCACCCTCGTACAACATTCCTTCTTCCACCGACACATTCTTTTTAATACGAAAAACTCTCTCACGCAATAATGCACGGCCAAGTACCAACGTATGGTGCCAACGATAGCAACAAAAGCACCGAATAATTCACAATTAAAAACCGCCGAGTGAACCGTAAATTTATACACGAATAGAAGAAACGTAATTCCATGCAAACGGTACATTAAAAAAGAAAAAGGAAAATATATTAACGCTGGATTTAACGGATCGGCTCTCGACTTTTTCTGTTGGCTCAAAATCGAGCATTTTGCATTCCTTCGCGACGCGAAATATCCGTAAACGTAACTATGGCGATACTAATGCAGATTGGAACGTAATATCGCGTTGGTGCACGCTTCTGGTTCCCTTTTCCTCTTGATCCGCCTTCTCTTGGTCGCCTGATACGCGATCGTAAATAGGTTTCGCCTCCACCGGTATTTCATTACTTCGATATCGCATTGTCGTTGACGTCGAAACCGTTCTTCGTGGATTCTGCAGAAAGAGATAAAAATTTACGACGAGCTCTCTCGCTGCTGCGCGAAACGCGTTCGGGGATATTGTAATTCACGGCGCCGTGGACGCTTTCATGGATCGAGGGGAACCGATCGAATCTACGGCTAGGCTTTGCAGGAGTGCGTCCATGCGAAAATAAAAGACCCTACGAGCGATCGTTTTCCCTAGTTTAGCACGCCTTTCCGTGTCCGGGCCTCGATATTTGCTCGAATCGCGGGGGAATTGAAATTTCAATGATTCAAGGGCGCTGAACGACGACGATCGTTCAAAATTTTCAAACGTCGAACACTGGGGTGGTTCATAAATTATTTCCTTTCAAAGATTGCTCGTACGTTGTCCCGACGAAAGCTTAGAGGAGTTAACGGGAAACGTGTAAACGAACATGGCTGCACGAGCAGCGTGAAACGAAGTCTGAATTTTCTAATCGAATAATTCCCAGCTTGTGAATCTGAGCAAACCTGCTTTGGGCTCGTTGGAGAACAAGGTTCGGAGGCCCAGGATGTCGGTCACTTTGTCTATGGTGGTTTGCCTGGTGCCGAACGTGGTGGTCCTCTTCTGCTTGGCCGTGTTCAGATCGAAGAACGCTTTGATCGTTTGAAATCTGCCCATCGAGGACTCCTCCGACACGCCGCCTGTGCTCGCCCGCGATCGAGGACTTTCCAGTTGGGGCAACGAACTTCTCGAAACTCGATTAACCTTGTGCAGGCACTGACGGACCGCGACGTACAGGTTATCGTTGCTATCGACGTCCGCCAACAGAGCGTCCAAAGTTTTGCACAACTTTCGCCCCTTGTTCTGATCTTCCTCCTCCTCCTCCTCCTCCTCCTCCTCCGCCTCGTCGATCTCGATCTCGACCCTCTCCGTCAACTTTTCCTCCGATCGGTATTCCACGTTGGACGACATGTCGCTATCTCGACGGAAGCTAGACGGTTACGTGGACGACTCTTCCCACGGAAGATCCAGGGTCGGTGCTGCCGCGATCCACGAGAACGATCTACGCGATTCGAGAGATCCTCTTATCCTTGCTCAGGATTTTCGACCAATGGGGACCGTCGCCGGTTGTCCACGGCGATCTCTGATTCGTTATACTCTATCTCGATTAGCTTCCAAGATTGAGAAAGATATACAATGACTGTCGAAATCGATCCAGTACATCGTTACACTTTTTACTTAGCCCATTTGCATCGCTAAGCGGAATATTCGAAAACTATAAAACAGATCGAGCTCCAAAATGTACTGTTTCTACATTTTCCTTGTCCAACCGTGACTTGCAAATATGTAATTATAAAGGTTTGCTCGCACGAAACTAAAGTTTCCTCTCGGTCTATTTATTTTCATCGGCCAAAAAAAGTAATCAGAGGCTTTTAAGATGCATTTTCAGGTAGAAACTTTTTTCATTAGTAAAATGAAAAGTGCTGAAAATTAGGTGGACCGTTCCAGCCGGGCGGGAGCGACTACTTTGCGAAAGGGAATCTGTTTTTCGCGCGGATCGCCTCGTCTTTTTATTTAAACGGTTCCATCTGAATTCCAAGTTTCGAATTGGGGAAGCGTGGCTTGTTAAACCCGTCCACTGCACCGCGTCGCATGAAATTGGAATCGCTGGTCGAAGTTTAAAATACACGCGTTGAGGAGCGAACGTCTCTGTTAGATTTGACGCTTGGAATTTCCTTCGAGTCGAGTCGCCAAGTCGGCTTTCAAAGATCTCTCGCGAGTAAAATTCGAATACCACGATCGTTCGCCAAACTATTGGTAAAGCTTTCATTCAGAATTCTTGATAAATTATTTACCATAATTGCTTTCCAATTGTTTAGCATTTTAGGAGCTGCAAAGTTGGGTTTCCAGACGTTCCAGGAGAATAAGACGTCACGGATCAGACAATTAGAGTGGTACTTAAGTATATTTTATACATTATTAATATTCGAAAATGCGCGCGTACATATAACATACTTTGCAATAATACAATTAATTCTACCTGAACAGCGTTGGGCTAGACAGTCATTGTGCTACAAATTTTCAATAGATCTTTTAAGAATTTCGCTACAAAAATGCTATAAAATATATTTAATCAAGTACAACTTATCGATACGTTTATTATAAATGATTACGCACTATTACGATCTTCCGATTCTTATTAATAATTGAAACAGTGTATGGATCAAAGATTTATCAGGAATTAAACTTTTTTATGATCGTTCGTTAAGAATCGTAGATGACATTAGACGTTTAATGACTTTATAATAAAACAAGGCATATTATTTATCGACAAGTATCAATATTATCGATCGATTGGTAGTTCTTAAAATAATAATAAACGATGCAATGTTTCCTATTATTTACAATGAACAACCCGGATTCGAGAGAGAAGCAAGCAACGGGTTCATTCGCGAGTCATCAACGATATAAAAATCGACCTCAACGGCTAATAAAAGCAATAGGCGGTCGTTCGATAAAACTGATAAACAATTGAACGCGTCCAATCGTTCAACGAAATGAAACAATCGTTAAATACTTAAAATAAAACGAAATTAAATCCGAATTTAAAATTATGTTCACCGTTGGTCGCTTCCGTTCTCTCGATCAGATCGAAGCTCGTGTTTGGAAAGTGAATTCGCAAATTTCTGCGCCGACCTTCGAAATTTGCAATTCTTCTAACGATACGAATAAAAAAAAATTCAAACGAAACATGGTTAGCAAACTTGATCGAACTTATACTTATACGTTCCTCTTAAATGTAACTTAAAACAATATTAAGATAAACTTAAAAGTTAAGAGCGTAAATATTCGCGTACGTATTAGGCTCAAATTAATTTAAGCGACCCTGCACGTAATTGAAAAGACAGGTTTACGAAGGCGACTGGAAATTCTTAGCGCTCGTAAACTTGCCATGATAATTAATCTAATATGAATTAAACACCATTTGCTACGCTTTGAATGAAACCATAGCAAGAACGTATTTTTATCGCCAAAGATAAAGATAACAAAACTAAAACTACCCGAGTGCGTCTGGCAAAGTTCGATAGCGGCTGGAAATTTGCGAAATTCTATAAAACGGTTGAAAATTCTTCGAGAAATCCGATTCGATGCCTCGATGAACGAAAATCGATCGAAGGATCGAGGAAAAGGCTCGGCCTAAAATCGAAAGTCCTCAATAAAATTGATCATTATCTAAGGTTTGCGATTTTCTTCGATCTTTGATGGATTTCCGTCGCTTTCGTTCGTCGGCGAAAGCTCGAGGGAAAAATTGATTGGACGTTCAATTTTCGATTCTCGTCGACGTCAATACTTTACTCTGCTCAAATTCTTCGACCTCGATCGCGTTTCCTGCGGATTCCATCCCCGCGTCGTTTCGATCAACAGTTCCTGGACTTGTTGTCGATCCCACGCTTTCGATCGTCCATTCTGTTTCTGCGAGCAGATTTCGCTTTACCGCGAGAACGTTGCACATTTTTTAAACGAAATTTTTACTCGATGCTTGGAGATAGAAATTATTGAAAACACCGAGTCGACTTTATTTTTAATCGAGACAGAGAATTTGTATAAACGTTGAGATTTAAATTTATCCGAGTAAATGAAAATGTTATAGTCTCATTGTGGTCTCGATAATGCTTGGTATTTGAATCGTGTAGATAGTATAAGAAATGTAAACATCTCACTATCGTAAATGACTTGTTTGGAATTCGGTCGTTGAAACAGCCGACTTACAGAGCTCTGTTTACTACAAACTCGTGTCTCGATCAACGTGTTTACAACGGGAGAACCCTGATACTTGTAATACTGTAAATACATGCTGAAAAATAATTCGACTGAAATTGAAATCACTATCACTTTGGTAATTTTGGCAAATTTTTGTCGAACGGGAAAGAGCAACGCAACGAACGGCGCGATCAACATTACGGTTTCTCGCGTGGCTGCCAAAAGGCGCGTATAAATAGGCTGCCTGACAAAAACAAGTCGACGGCTAGTGTTGCATGGACATAAAGTTTTTAATCGTCCCGACTTTAAGGCTTCTATCGCGGCTCGTACGAGCGAAACGAGAATTTTCGATCGCGTTTCGTCGGGCTACTCTGCGAAACTTTTATCGTCGTATAAAGGTACATTTACTTTAATAAATAAGTACACGAATATTTATGGCCACCGTCGATCCGTAAATCTGACCAAAAGATCTTGCGGCAACCCGGTGCCATAAATCGCGAAATAAACACTCCGCGATTTACGTTTCGATCTTGCTAACCCCTTTGGAATCGTCCGATTTTATTCCACTTGGATAATTTATAGGTATAAAACAGAATAAATAGATATTTCCAGAAGGCCAGGAAATAGTCAAAAGGAATAAATAAAATCCAAAGTAATAAAGTACCGTGGTTCTAGATTTTTAAAATCCATTAAGAGCAAAGAGGTGCACGAATTACTTTCTACGTTTGCTGTTCGACGTTCGAGGTATGTATTAAGAGTTCTGGCAACGGTTCCGAAATTATTTGTATTAGATAATGTTACGATTCGCGAGAAAAATAACGAAGGAATAAGAAGTTGAGGAAAAGTGTATCTTACCTAATGCGTTGTACGAAGAATTTGCAACATTGTATGGAATATTTTTCAACGATACGGCCCAAATGGGACGATGCGGTACGTGAACATGTTTCTTGGGATTCCTCGAAGTTTTTCGAAATTGGCCTGTTGCCATTTTCGAGCAGACGGACCGTTAAATTTTTTAGGAACGTTTCGAAGGTACTCGGAGTGCGTCTTTCATTCATCTGCAAAATTGGACATTTTCTACTACCGATGGAAACGAAATACTACCATACAAAATAGAAAATTTCAATTGTAATATTGTTCGAACAAAATTTTAAATTAATTAAGAAACAGTATTTGTATTTAGATCGCCGAAGATTCGACCGTGTTTTACCTCGTCGATTTCCCACAGATTCAGATGTTATCGATTAACCAAAGATGGATCATTGATCAGGAATCGTCGAGCGCCGTCCCTCGATCAGAACGTCCCTTCCGCGATTATGCTATCAGCACGTGTTCACGTCATGCTGTTCGCGATGCGACTCAACAGGAAGACACGACTATACAGTATCCGATATCCCAACTACCGATTCGCCAAGATGGCGCAAGCGTAGCGATTCCCAAACGCGGAAACTTTAAACCCAGCTCACCAACCACGCGAAAATTACCAACTTCATTATCAAAGTCGCAATGATCGTTGAATAATTACGTTGATCCAATATACTTGGCTCAAGCTAATCGGTGGTATTTTTTAAGTCCCCGATTCTAAGAAGGAAAAATTCGGTTTCGTGTTGATCGATGGGATCGGAAAGGGCTCGGTTCGAGTTCAGGGCAGAAACGTGCAGCGTTAACCGAGTTGGTCGTGTTCGCGCCACGGACTACCGTCGTCTGCACGTTGTAAACGCGCCAGACGGAAACGAGAAATCTACCAATTACGGCAGACAATCTTCGTAGATTTCAATCTACGAATCGCCATGGTTGGCGGGTTCGCGTGGCGATATTTCACCGATACGTCGCTGGCTTCGATGCACACCGTCGAATCTGTCCGGTTCGTTTTGTTCGACGTTACGTTTTCTCCGTGACTCTTTGCCCGACATTTTTTATTCCTCGAGTCCCGCGTCGTTAAGAGGCATTCCCGTTTCTCGGCTATTCCGAAAGAGACCATTTCTCAACGATATTTGGGACTCCCGAATGTGGCACAAAGAATTGTTCTCGACGATCTACCATGTAATGTACAATTTCGAGTCAACGTTAAATATCCACATACTTTCAACGGGCGTGCTCGTATTTGAACATCCTTTTTATCTTTAACGCGACGAAATAAAAACTCCCATGCGATTTGTATCGCAATTTTCTCGAGTAGATCTCCATCCTGCTGTGCCGAGGAAAAACAACGTGTTTGTTCGCGAAAAACAGAAACGCAATAACAATAAAATCCCTACACTTTACGCGAATTGCGAATCTCGAGGGCTCGAAACGCGGAAACCAATTAGCAACGCGAGAGTGGGATAACGATTCGTTTCGATGGGAAATTTGTAATGAAAATTTATCAAATGCCCTTGTCGGCAAATAAACTCGGAAATTGAAATTATCTACGTATCTCTTTGTCGTTGCTGCATTATTATTTTAACCGTCTCGAACGGGTCGACGGTCCTTGATTCGGTCTCTCGAAAATATGTTAAAACAATCTGTTTACTTCGTCGACGTATCTTTCGAGAAATTTTTAAATTTAATCAATGTTTATACGTCCGTGGGAAAATGTAGTTCGCGGGAGGGCCGTCTTAATCGATCGCCGATTCGAACTCGTCCCAGATAAATTACCTCGAAGTATTCGGAGGGAGATGTTCGTTAGACGGAATCTCGTTTGCACGAAACGTTACGTACGCCAATCCGCAAAGTTACGTGGCTCCCTGAACGCGAAACTTCGTCGAGACGTCCTGGAACGGGATTCGCGGAACGTACGACCGCTTTTTCGCGAAACAGCCCAACGGAATACAAGGGGGGAACGACGGAGGCGCGTCGACGGAATTGGCGTCGCGCCAGGCGCTGAAGCATTGTTACTGTTCCACGGTATGTAAGATCGCGCAGTAAATCGACTCGAGTGGATTGTCGCTCGTTTGACAGACAGCCCGACAGGTGGCAGACAGACACCGAAAAGTGTCAAGAATTTCTGCGCTTTACGGCCGGGGACAAGTCGATCGAGCTCCTCCGCGTTCGTGCTCCTCGAGTCCCGATGCAAAAATCAAAAAACTCCTGGGCACGTCCCATCTCGAGGAAACGACAATTTTTTTTTAATTTACCATCGACTAAACGGGACTTTTCAAACGGAATCCAAGTCTCGATAGGAAAGTAAAACCGATTTGTACCAAACCTGTGGACTGAAGCGATTAAAAATAAATTTGAATAGGATTCACGAGGAGTTTTGGCGTAGTTAAAGCATATACGGGGCATTTAGCAGTTCTCGAAGGGTTGATAGACGAGCGAATAGTTGATCGGACGAAGATAAAGGGAGATTCCATCGAGCAGCAGACCAGCTTTAAATTATTTAACGGTTCGCGCGCGTTGCAACAGAGTCGTCCGCGCAATTGACTCAAGCACAAACTCGGTCCTGTCGATAGTAGTGCATTACATCGTGCGATTATAGTCACGTGGAGTTGAATGCAGCACGGTTCGCGCCGCAGGGGCGTAGTTGCGAAACACTGAAATCAATACGGTGCATTCTCTCTCCCATTCATGACTTGTACGCGGGTGTAACACACGGAACTCATTCACGGTGACCGAATGCGGTGGCGCGCGTCTGCAGGCTCGCTGGCCACGATCTTCCGCCGTTTCGATGAAAAAAATACCCAGGAAAACCCCTGACTCTGACCCCAAACCCTTTCTGTTCGAATAATCTAATGGTAACGCGAATCGTTCGACGCGTCTCTTACGCGACCCAATTATTATTTATTAAAATTTATCCCGTTAACACTTGGAACGTCTTCTTCGGCGGTCCATAACTCGAAAACTAACGTGGAACGGTTTTTGGTTGCTTTCTGTGTAAAAAATGGTGGAGTTACTAGACCTAATATTTAACGCGTAGCAACGGGGGAGCTGTCATCCGCCACGCGACGAAACTAGGGTAAAATTGGAGGGAGCGTCGAGGCGGTACGCGAGGAGGAATTCGCGTATTCGGAGCAGGAAGAGACGTACCGGACCGCGATTTATATATTTATCGGTCGGAGAGGGACGCCGAAAGAATGGAGGAAAGGATACGCGGGATAAAAGACGAGCGACGATATGTAGGTCAGGGAATGAAAAGTAACGAGTCGTGACTGGATGGACGTGAATGAATGAACCGAACGGTCCGCGTAGTCGCCAGGGAGAGACTGAACGCGCCGAGAGGTAAGAAACGCTGGACAAAAGCGAAGACAACCGGTCCGTGGAACGAAAGGGTGAGGGGGGAAGGGTGGTAGGAAAAAGGGAACGAGTAACGGCGCGAAAAAGAGGAGAGGAAACACGGAGCGAACAAGAGAGCGAGAAAGAGGGATCGAGCGAGCGAAGAGAGAAATGGGTCAGACGAGGGAGAAATAAAAAGGCACGCGTTAAGAGCAGAGCAACCGTTATTCTCTCGCGAAACATCGCGGCGCAATATCGACCGACGAAAAACTCCAATCCCTCGTTTTCCCACGGGAAAATCCTCCTAACGAACAGAGCCACGACGGAGAAAAACCCCAAACGTTCCACGCGAAATTATCACTCGAAGAACGAACACGCGTTACCGTTCGTTGCGACACGGTGTCCCGTGCAAGGACCTATTTCACCGATTCTTTCCACCCCCTCCCTCGACTCTGATAGCAGCGAGCGATTACAATTGCGGCGAACACGGCTAACAAGGGAAGTTCGGGAACCGGGTATATTAAAAAATGATGAAACTTTGCGTACAAGTAGAGTAGGTCATCCATAAGATACACTAGTTTATCGTTCGGGCTGTGATTCGGTCTCGAGGGGGGTGAAATCAACACTTACGGGAAAATGCGGAGCTGCCTTTCTGGCGTTTCAGACAAATATTAACGAAAGTTTATATTAACGATCAAATCTGTAACGAACTCGGGGAACGAAAGACAAAAGGTGGAATCCGACGACGTTCGGAAGCACCGGAAGCGGTCAAAGACAACGAGAGACGGTTGTCGGGGACACATGGGGAGGGAGGGTGGAGTAACGAAAGGGTGGAAGGTGAACGGAGAGGAAAGAGACGGGACACGGGTAAGCAAGAGCGAAAGAGAGATATGGGTCAGAGGATGGACCGGACGGAATATTGATCCGGCCACCTCGCGATAGTTGGCTGTGTTGCGCTATGCTCTGCCATGTTTCCTCTCTCGGTCTCGCCCACCGTCTCTCCTCCCCGTGGTACGCGGATACACAGAAGACCTCACGGTTTACCTTAGTCGCTGCTCGTGGAGCTCGTGCAGTTTTAAATCGAGCACCTGCGGCCGGAGGAATGCGACGTTCGTCCAAATAGTACGCCCCCCTGGGATGCTTGGTCGATTCGATGGCCGAGGAACCCCGAACGCCACGATTTATCATACGATTAGTCGACGAGGCCAGACAGTAAAAACGCGTGAATTGTTATTTAAACGGCAGGAGCGTTGTATCGAAGCACCAACGAACGAACGTTCATTTTTGGGGGGAAAAGAACAAAGTGCACGGTAAGAGAATTCGCGTGTAACGTAACGGGACGCCATTATGCTAAGTAGGGTAGGGTCGTCCTGTTGCTGGTTTGCATATTTCTGTCTTGGGTTTTCCTTCCCCTGCGACAGCTACCAACATTTGTCTTCGGGACGAAAGGGTAACTTCTTTTTACGTGTCGCGATTTTAATTGCAGATTCCCGGCATAATAGCCAAGTTCAAAGCTCGACTTCGAAACCCTTTTCTTGCTTCCAAGAGAATTGATCTATCGATCATCCTTGTAGCAATTCTTCGTAACGCGTATTAATTTTCTTTTAGTTTTACGAATATCCGGATACTCGATCGCGTTTTCTTTACCGAAATTTGAATATCCGAGTACGGAAGGATTCTACGAGAGGTACGAGCACTTAAATGGATGCGTCTATTTGCCTAGCTGGTGAACGGGAGCGCTAAATGTCGCAAAATGGAACGCGAATCGTTATCGTTGCGGAGATACACGACACACCAGGAGACCACGTCTCGACGGAGATACCATGTTGTGTCACATCGCAGATACACGCCTCTGTGTACTCGTGTTGACACGTAATTATCTCTGCGTGTTTGGTACACGTGTCTTTCCGCCACCGTCGTCGTCGGCTTGTTTGAATTTCGGGCGTACGACACGACGAAACGATCGGTTTCGCACGAATCTTGCTCATCCTGCCGTTAATGCGAATCCTATCGAGCTGAGTCTTGGACGACAAAGCGTTTTGCTTCGTTCTGTACACTAAATTCTGTGCGATCGATCTAAAAGTTTATCGTCTCAAGACCTATCAATTTGCGTTAACTTATCAGTGATGATGTGGTTTAAACAACGCGTTAAA